CAGCTTATTCTGAAGCACCTATTTCAGGCCACACAGCCACACTTAAGAGACCCCTGGCATTAGTCTGGCTCCCTTCCTACAGCATCCCATACTCCAACCCTCGCTCCACCACCAGCTGTGAGACCTTTCTCCCTAAGCAATAGCTCCAGCAGGCCTGACCTAGGCAAACTCCAGAGTCACTCCTGTTTCTGACACCACAGAAGCCACAGGGAGTGGTGGCATTAGGCCTTCAGTCTCAAAGTGAGATTTAGCCTATTCTAACCTGTTGCTCCAAGGGGCTGGAAGAGCCACCAGGCTGCTTGCCTTGTAGGGACAGCACAGGTGCCATGGAAGTCACCAGGTCTGGAAACCACCCCTGCCAACTCAGCCAAGTGGTAGAGACCAGCAGCCCCAAGCCTTGGCCCCTTGGAGGTGCAAAGGCTGGGGCTCCATACATTACCTCAGTGGCATCTCTACTAGGGCACTGGTTGAAATACGACTGTCTTCAGGTCCAATGTCTACTGCACCCATACAGCATCCCTAGCCAACTGTCCTGAGACTGCACAGAGGCCACTCAGCCAGTGATGTCCTCTGGTCTCTACTAGACCACACAGGTAAGACCAGGTACGGGGACCCTCCTGTCAGTCTCAAGATGTCATTTTTTGAGATGGGCTTACTGTATCCTAGGATCAACTTGGACAAGCAATCCTTCTTTCCAGATTCCAGAATCCTGAGATAATTGGGGGGGGGGGGGATGCCCAGCCTTAGGTTTTTTTGTCTGTTGCTAAAGTAGCAACTTACATAGCCCAGGCTAGCCCCAATTTAGATATGTAACTAAGACTGACCTTGATCTGACGGCTTCACTTCCCATCTACAGGGATTACAGGTAGTGCCACCATACCCAATTAGACCTAGGATTTTTCTCCCTCCAGGGTTTCTTACGAATAAGGATAAGTGTTCACTCGCCCCTGTGTACATGTTTGGAACATAGCACTAAGTCCTCAGGGTGGCCTCCAGACAATCGGGCAACTTTCATGGCTCTTCCTTCAAATATGCTCCACACCTTCCACGTTGGGGCCTTTAGCCAGCTGTCCCCTACTGCAAGTCAGCAGGTTCCCCTCCAGATTCACAAGGAGTCAAGTGTTGTGGCACACACCTGTAATCCCAGCACGTGGGGCTGGAGAAGGAAGATTGCCTTCATTCAGAGACCAGCCTGTGCTATGTAGTGACTTCCAGATCTACCCAGACTACTGAGTGAGGCACTGTCTGGGGTGAGGAAAAAAAGGCAAGGAAACTTGGGCAATAAAAACAAGTGTTGGCTTAAGCAGAACAGCCAGCAGGACAGAAGACTTCCAGCCCCATAGATGGGTACTTCAGCATTAAGTGGAAAAACAGTCTCTCCAGCACACAGCCACATGTCCACAGGCAGAGTGTGGTGGCCTGTGTCAGTCCCACACACCAACTCAGCCAAGACCCATAGCCTACAGCATGAAGACCTACAAAAAAGTTCCAGGGGAAAAAGACAAAGAGCTCATAAAGCAGGGCTGGAGAGATGGCTCAGAGGTTAAGAGCACTGTCTGCTCTTCCAGAGGTCCTGAGTTCAATTCCCAGCAACCACATGATGGCTCACAACCATCTGTAATGAGATCTGGTGCCCTCTTCTGGTGTGCAGGCAAACATGCCAGCAGAACACTGTATACATAATAAATAAACTTTAAAAAAATTTAAAAAAAAAAAGAGCTCACAAAGCCTGGGGTGGCCAAGATTTCTTAAGCAGGATATAGAAAGCATTAACATGGGGAGCTTCTTATCCAGTGTGGTGGTGTGCACCTGTAATTCCAGCACTGAGGATGCCGAGGCAGGAGGTTGAAGGGTTAAAGGCCAACCTTAGCTACACAGGGAGACAATGTCTCAAAGAAGAAAACCTGTCAAGATGGCTCAGCAGGTAAAGGAAGGTGCCTGCCATTAAGTCTGACAATCTGAGTTTCATTCCGTGGTGGAAGGAGAGAACTGACTCCCGCCAGTTACCCTCTCGGCTCAACACACATGCCACAGACCCCTCCCACCCCTGCAACAGGCTAAATTACAGTGATTGAATCAACATAAAAGGCGAGAACTTGTGTTGGTAAAAAGGTAGTCCACATTGTGCAACATGACACTGCAATAAAGGAGTGCCTATACCACACTTAAGCTCTGGGACGTCTTAAGAAAGGGAACACAGGCTAAGGGAATGGCTCAGCTGGGAAAGCATGACCCACGAACATGAGAACCCCCCAAAATCTCTGGAAACAGCTGAGCACAACTGAGCTTGGGGAGGAGACAGAGAGACCCCTGGGGCTCCCTGGCCAGGTGGGCTAGCTGAATTGATGAGCTCCAGGTTCAGAGATCTTGCCTTTAAAAAATAAAGTGGAAAGGCCTGGTGGTGGTGGCACACACCTTTAATTCCAGCACTCGGGAGGCAGAAGCAGGTGGATCTCTGTGAGTTCAAGGCCAGCCTGGTCTACCAGAGGGAGTTCCAGGACAGGTTCTAAAGCTACACAGAGAAACCCTGTCTCAAAAAATAAAAATAAATAATGCATTAATAATAATATATACAAAAATATATATCCATGCATACACACACACACACACACACACAATGCATGCCCATACATATACATGCATACACACACATGCATGCCCATACATACACATGCATACACACACACATGCATGCCCAAACATATATACACATGCAGACATACAAAGGACAAAATAAAAAGAAAAAACAGGCTCTTCATAAAAGAATAAATCACACCAGGTGGTGGTGGCACATGCCTGGAATCCCAGCACTTGGGAGGCAGACAGAGGCAGGCTGATTTCTGTGAGTTTGAGGCCAGACTGGTCTACAGAGTGAGTTCCAGAACAGCTAGGGCTACACAGAGAAGCCCTGCCTGGGGGGGAGGGGCGGCAGGATGGATCACAATAAGCATGAGACAAGAATGCTCCTAAGACAGCATCACATGCCCATTGGGACTGACTGACCAGGTTAAAGAGTAAGTGAGGCTGCGGAGGCAGGGGCCCCTCAGCCACCACCACTAGGGACACCAACTGCCACAGCCACTTGAGAAAAGCCTTGGTGTTGGCAGGAATCATTTCCAGGAATACACCGAACAGAAACAAAAACACATGCCCTGCAGAAACTTATATGAAATTTCACTGACATTATTCAGAAAAGTCCCAAAAAAGCCAAGTGTGGGAGCATATACTTGTAGTCTCAGCACTGGGGAGGCTGATGCAAGAGGATCCAAGCAAGACCCTTTTGGGGGCAGGGGCACTGAAGTAGAAACCACCAAACCACTCAACAACAGCTGATCACTAAACCAGATGTGGGCTAGTGTTTGCACTGAAAAGCACATAAAACTTCAACACTATGGGGGCTGGAGAGGTGACTCACAACCACCTGTAATTCCAATTCCATGTACATGCACACACGCACAATTAAAATTAAATGCACGGGGCTAGAGAGAGAGAACTCAATGGTTCAATTCCCAGCATCCACATGGCTTTTCTGTCTGTAACTCTAGTTCCAGGGGACCTAGCATCTTCACACAGACATACATATAGGCAAAACCCCAATGCACATAAAAATAAATCTTAAAAAAAAAAATACACAGGGACTGAAAATGTGGTGTAGTGAGTAGAGTCCTACTGAGCATGCACAATGCCCAGGTTCAATCCCTAGCACCACGTAAAATAGCCTGGTGGGTCATGCCTATAATCCTAGTAGCCAGGAGGTAAGAGAGAGACAAGAGGCTCAAACATGAAGGCTATCCTCTACCTAGCTAGTTCAAGACCAGCCTAGGCTAGATAAGACCCTATCTCAAGCTGGGCGTTGGTGGCGCATGCCTTTAGTCCCAGCACTTGGGAGGCAGAGGCAGGCGGATCTCTGTGAGTTTGAGGCCAGCCTGGTCTACAAGAGCTAGTTCCAGGATAGCCTCCAAAGTCACAGAGAAACCCTGCTTCAAAAAACAAAGCAACAACAACAAAAAAGAACAAAAACAAACAAACAAAAAAGCCCCTATCTCAAAAACAAAATCAGACATCCAAACTGTGGGGAGGGAAGGCAGGGGGTGGGGAAATGCAGGTGCTTCTGGGTTACTTGGAGGCACACACTGACACTCAGAGCTTCAGAGCACCACCATGTAGCAGTAACTGGTAGGGAGACTGTCTTACAAGGCCCTTCAACACCCTAGCAGACCTGACTGCCTTTCCTTTGCAACAGTGCCAAGTGCATGTTCACTGGGGGCTTGCTCGCTCCCTCCACAGCTCCCATTACACCAGAACGGCAGCTTCCCAGGTACTAATGTGTGCCTAGCATACAGTGGATGCTAATAAGTCTCTGTCCAGTCATCATTGGTCTGCACCACATGGGACCATCAGTGCCCTGGGTTGGGATCACATCACTGTCACCCAACAGCCAGGCTGTCACACTGAATGGGACCACAGGAACAGAAAGGAAATCAAGGCAGGCAGCCAGGCCTCACACAACCACGCAGGAGGGATGGATGTGGCTACAGTAGGGCACAAAGACCCTGGGCCTCAGTGCCAGTAGAATAAGAATGAAGCCCAAGCCACCAGCTAGGAGGAACAAACTTCTCAGAAAAGAGACTGCAGATGGACACAGCAGGGGTGCCACTCAGCCCTTCGGGACTTCCTAAAAGCTCATATGTCACTCTCAGTTGGATGTCCACCTCCATCCACCCCTCAATCATTCCACACACACAATATCCTGAGGGCCTACTGTGTTCCAGGCATTGCAGTCAGCCCCAGGGATACAACAGTGAACAGGCAAGATAGTTAAACTTTAGCTGGTGTGGTGGCATGTGCCTGTAATCAAGACCAGGGAAGATCAAAACCTATGAACTAACCAGTTCCAACCCATCGACAGTGAGTCGCAGACTCACCGTCCTGGCTAAGTGTGGGCCACGGAGGCCTACCGAGCTATGGACCCGCTGCTGCATACTCTGCGGGGCTCTTACCTTGGGCGGGTCAAAGAGCTGCAGTAGGCGGCCATGGCCTGGGCCCGGGGCCCGCAGCACCAGGCGACCCCGCTGCCAGCGTGCGCCGCTGTCCATGGCTGCCTCGTCCGCCAGGCTATAGCGCAGCGCAGTTT